GAGAACTGACTAGACATATGCAAAAAATTGAAACTAGACCCCCTCCTTACATTTTACACAAAAGTTAACTCAAGATGGATTAAAGACTTAAACGTAAAATCCAAAACTAGAAAAACCCTGGAAGAAAATCTAGGCAATACCATTCCGGACACAGGCATGGGCAAAGATTATATGACGAGATCTAATTAAACAAAAGAGCTTCTGCACAGGAAAAGAAACTATCATCAGAGCAAACAGACATCCTACAGAATGGGAGAAAATGTGTGCAATCTACTCATCTGACAAAGGTCTAATATTCAGAATCTACAAAGAACTTAAGCAAATTTACATGAAAAAAACAACTTCATTAAAAAGTGGGCAAAGGACTTGAACAGACACTTCTCAAAAGAAGATGTACATGTGGCCAACAAAAATATGAAAAAAAGGTCAACATCACGGATCATTAGAGAATTGCAAACCAAAACCACAAATGAGATACCATCTCATGCCAGTCAGAATGGCAATTATTAAAAAGTCAAGAAACAACAGATGCTGGCGAGGTTCAAGAGAAATAGGAATGCTTTTACACTGTTGGAGGAAAAGTAACTCGGTTAATCCATTGTGGAAGACAGTGTGGCAATTCATCAAAGATTTAGAACCAGAAATATCATGTGACCCAGCAATGCCAATACAGGGTATATACCCAAAGGAATATAAATCATTCTATTATAAAGTTATATGCATGTTTACATTCATTGCAGCACTATTCACAATAGCAAAAACATGGAATCTACCCAAATGCCCATCAATGATGGACTGGATAAAGAAAATATGGTACATATACACCATAGAATATCATGCAGCCACAAAAAGGAATGAGATCAAGTCCTTTTCAGGGATATGGATGAAGCTGCAAGCCATTATCCTCAGCATACTAACACAGGAACAGAAAACCAAATACCACATGTTCTCATTTATAATTGGGAACTGAGCAATGAGAACACACGGACACAGGGAAAGAAACAACACACACTGCGGCCTGTTGGGAGAGGGCAGTGGTTGGGGGATCATTAGCAAAAACAGCTAATGCATGCCAGGGTTAATGCCTAGGTGATGAGTTGATAGGTGCAGCAAACCACCATGGTACATGTTTACCTATGTAACAAACCTGCACATCCTGAACATGTATCTTGGAACTTAAAATTAAATTAAAAGACAAGCTTAAAGAGTTAATGAAAAATAATTAGATAAAAGAAGACTTTGATTTTCAAAAACCAGAAACAATAGTTTTAATTTTGCTTTTAACATATATTCAAATCCTTTGATATGCTCCCTTCAAGAGATGCAGCTTAATTCCCCCTCTTGAGTGTGGCTTGGACTTAATGAGGCACTTCTGATATGGCCCAGTTCTCCGTTCCCACCCAAATCTCATCTTGAATTGTCATTCGAATTGTACTCCCTACCTGTTGGGGGAGGGACCACATGGGAGATGACTGGATCATGGGGACAGTTCCCCCATGCTGTTCTCATGATACTGAGGGAATTCTCATGAGATGTGATGGTTCTATAAGGGGCATTTCCCTGCTTCGTTCTGCATTTCTCTCTCCTGCCACCATGTGAAGAAGGACGTGTTTGCTTCCACTTCTGCCATGACTCTAAGTTTCCCAGGGCAGGCTCCTCAGCAACGCAGAACTGTCAGTCAGTTAAACCTCTTTCCTTTATAAATCACCCAATCTCAGGTATTTCTTTATAGCAGTGTGAGAATGGACTAATACAACTTCTAACTTATAGAATAATGCTGACATAACAGTTTGTGACGTTGGGTGTAGAACATAAAACTCACTGCAGCTTCCACCTTCTCTCTCTCTGTCTCTGGGATCATGAGCTCTGGGG